TCCATGATGACCTTTCTGCACTTCTGCAAATGATGAATGTCAATAAAATAATACTCCTGGGGTTTGGAAGTAGGTAGTTTACGGAAATCTAGACGTTTGGATAAAGAGAAATAACCTACCAAGCTCCTCGTTGGTTTCCAAATCGTACACCCGTGCCCATGTGTCTCCCACGGATCCCGTCACAAACCTTCCAGTTTGATTATTCACAGCAACACTTGCAACTTCATATTTGAAGTCCACTTTTCTATACAAACGGCCAGGACTAGTCCCTTCAAAGAAGTAGGCAGATTTCCCCGCAGCGACACTTAAGATCCCTGGGTCGTTAGGCGAGGTGGAGAGCGCGTTCAGCTCGCAGCTCCCAATCGTACCATCGACAGTGTACTCCACGAAAGGAAGACGAGAACGGAGATCCCACCATCTAATTTTTCGATCTTCACAGGCCGTTGTGATAATATTGTGATCTTGGTTCCAGATGATGGATTTTATGGTACCACCATGTACCCCTGGGCCAATTTCAAAACTTGTCATGGGTGTTGATGCCGATCCACCACCATTCACTCCGCTGCCTCCAGTTGGCCCGTACGGTGAAGTTGGAGATGGAGAGCTGCCCGTTCCGCTTTGCGAAAGATCGAAAATGCGAAGCTTCTTCTCCATTCCGCCAGTCGCGAGTATTTGAGGGTTAGTCTGCATAGGGAATGCGACGGCACGAACGATATGGCCATGTTGGAGAGTGTGCAAGCACTCTCCTGTGTGCGTATCCCAAACTTTCCTATGAGCAAAATTCAAGTAAGCCCCCAGCTCGAATGCTGATGTGTTGCAGGAGCAGGCAAACGAACGCAGAGAAATCAGCAGCAGCAGTCGCTGCTATTGTCGCGTCCGACGAAAGGCGAGCCTGCCATACTGCGCCTTTATGGCCCATGAATGTGCCAATCCTATTTCACTATTAGCCCTTGCGCGACCTCCCTAAGGCACTTAAAAAAATTAAACTGACCAGTCCCCAGTCACTCCATCTCTGAGCATCGGATTATTATCTGAAAAAAAGTGTTCAGTTTAAGCAGATTTTATGACTCCCCAGAGTCACACAGAAAGTACCTTTACATGCTGAAATCAGGTAGTATTGACCGTCCTCCACCAGGGAAGAAAAGCTTAGGTGGGTAATAGGGCGAGAATGTCCATGGCAAGTCAGAGGGACAACCTTAGATGATTCTATAGGTCAATTTCGCCATTAGATCCTGACAACTGTGACTGCTAGGTCATCTTGCGCCACAAGTGGTTAAGGCAGTTGACTGCTAAGATGGAGTTGCAAACCGCGATATTACGCGAAGCGAGAAAGAAGCTTACCAGACGCCATTTATGGCAATAAAAACGACAATGGGATAATAAAGGAAAATTGATGATGAGGCGGGAAATAGATACAATAAAAGGATCTGAAGGGGATTCCGTAGGAAGGAGTTGAAAGTTACTCTGCCTGGGAAACTTCAAAAAGAGAGGATGGGATCTTGCGAAAAGACCAAAAGATGGAGACGTCTTGCGACAGATGAAAAACTATAGTCCCGAGATTTCTTTTTAATGATAAACTGGGGAAGAGAAAAAATCATCAGATTCGTTACGGCGTTCCAGTCGTAAAAATGGCAGGCGGTATAGGCGGCGTTAGCGGGCCCAAGAGTAAACAAAGGGAGCAGGCGGGCAGGGAAAGACGGTAAAAGCGATGAAAC